GGAATATTGAAAAGTTACAAATTAAACAATAAAATGCATTATCCTCCTATATTGTCAGATATATTTTCACAAAAAAACTAGAAAAATTTCTGATGTAATTAGTAGCAAATCATGAGATATTTATGAATTGAAATATAAAAATTAAAATATTTAATAAAATATGAACATAAATGTTACAAAATTTTATTTTTCTTGCCTCATTTCAGCAAAATCACCAAAAACAATGTTACAATAGAAATTATTACAAAATTTGACCTTAGATATTGCTATCTAGCCTAGCTGGCAACCTATGCCGGGTTCACAAATGTGACTATTCCAATAATTTAAGACAATGACAAAGGAAGCATGCAAACACACAGAAGTACCTGTTCAAAATCCAGGATGGCTATCTGACCTTAGGAGTCCGTGGAAAGAAAGAGGGACCCACTGGAATACTTTATTCTTATATAGTGGACACACAAGGGGAGGTTCCATGGAATATTCTATCCCCAAAAGGGCAAAGGGGCAGGATTACAAATGAACAGGTGAGTGTAACTCAACCCTACCAGATGACGCCTACTCCTGGAGCCACACCTCATTATCCAAGTTGGGGTAAGGCCCAATGTGTTGCGGGCTGCAACAACAGTTCCATTCTCCATTACTCAGGACTTTAAGGTGTGTACAGTCCAGAGTGGTTCCCAACACTCCGAGAGTAATAATCTAAATGATCCATCAAAAAAAATAATCATTATCAAAATATGAATAATTTGAATGCTTTAATCAAAATAGATACATTAAAATAAGTGTGAAGCCTTTCAACTGAATTATTTTCATACATTTAAAATACTATTTTCAAATTAAATATTCAAAATCATATTTTAGAATTAAAAGCAAATACAAATTATAATTGATAGTTATTAAAACTTTAGAATTGAAACAAAGCTGAAAAATACTTAAAATCTGATGATACATTTTTCAAAAACTTAAATGATCCATGATCCCATTTAATGTTCATGTTTTAATTTCTAATCTTGTAAAGAATCAGCATCATGCTTTATGCAGGTTGTATCTATAGTAACATACATACAAAATTTGAGTAATGTAAATTAATATTACAAAATATTCCTCAGTCTCCATGTGCAACTTCTTTTTGTCAGTAATTCTGGAACCATGAATTGGAACATGAAGAAAGGCAAGGACACAGCCATTCATCTCTGCTAGGAAACAAAATTCATTGTGAAAGAATCTACTGAGCTCATATTATCTCAGAGGATTTGACATGTTAATTAATTTATCTTTTCTCTTTCCTAAATACTTGTGTCACTCAATTTCCCTAATGTTTCTAAGTAGTGTTCATCTCCAAGAGTAAAAACTTTAACCCATTAATGATTCAAGAGAAAATTAAGACTGTCAAGTCCAAGTTCCAAAGGCTACATACATGCTTCACAGGTCATTTGTTTGCAACATTAAAAATTAAGAACAAGGATCTGCAACTTTGTGATTCATTCTCCAGCATGAAGGTAATTGTGTGCAGTGTAAGTATATAAACAATGGACCAAATGTCCAGGACTGTGCTTCTATTACACAAGACCTCCCTGGTTGTTCTCAGCTAAGACTCCAATGTCAGAATTATTTCGCATTCAGTAAGCAGCTTCAGATGTCTCCCTTTACTAGTTCATTCATTTAGGATACACAATAAGGTTATCTAGATATCACTTCCTGAGCACGATGATGTGCTTTGGTTTGACATCTGGAGGGGTGACTTGCAAAGCCCATCTTCACCTGTAATTCAGACTCTGGAAGTAATGAATGCCCTGAAATTTTTTTCTTAAAATGCCTCTTTCATACATTGGTGAAAAGATAGCCTCTTCAACAAATGGTGCTGGGAATACTGGAAATCCACATGAATGAAACTGAACCTCTATCTCTCACCCTGTGCAAAACTCAACTCAAAATGGATCAAAGACCCAGAGATTAAGCCAGAAACCCTGAACAAAATAGAATAACATGTAGGACATATTGGCTCAGGAACTGACTTCCTTAAAAGACTTCCAAAGTGCAAGAAGTAAAATCAAGAATCAACAAAAGGGATGGCATCAAACTAAAAGCTTTTTCACAGCAAAAGAAACAATCAAGAAATGAAGAGAGACTACAGAATGGGAGAAAATTTTTGCCACCTGCACCTCGGATAGGGTGTTAATCTCCAGGATATATAAAGAACTCAAAAAACTTAACATCGAAAAAACAAATAACCCAATCAATAAATGCCAAAGGAACAGAATAGACACTTCTCAGAAGAAATACAAATGGTCAACCAAATATATGAAAAAGTGTTCAACATCTCTAGCAACTAGAGAAATGCAAATTAAAATTGCATTAAGATTCCATCTCATTTCAGTCAGAATGGCAATTATCAAGAATACAAGTAACAATAAATGCTGGCAAAAATGTGGGGGAAAAGGTATATTCACACGTTGCTGGTGGGACTACAAACTGAGGCGACCACTCTGTAAAGCAGTATGGAGATTCCTCAAAAAACTAGGAATGGAACCACAATTTGACTCAGCTACCCTACTACTCTGTATATATATCCAAAAGATTTTAAATCAGTATTCCATAGTGATACAGCCACATCAATGTTTATAGCAGCTCAATTCACAATAACTAAGCTATGGAACCATCCTAGGTACCCTTCAACAGATGAATGGATAAAGAAAATGTAGTATAGACACACAATAGAATATTACTCAGCCATAAAGAAGAATGCCTTTATTGTATTTGCTAGTAAATGGATGGATCTGGAGACTATCATGCTAAGTGAAATAAGCCAGTCTCAAGAAACCAAGGTGCAATTTTTTCACTAAGTGAAAGGTAACCTACAATAAAGGGTGAGGGGGAATTAACAGATATTCAACAGATTAGACAAAGGGGAATGAAGGGAAGAGACAGGGGAAAGGAAAAGGAAAGACAGTGGAATGAATCTGAAATAATTTTCCTATGTACATATATGAATACACCATAGTGTGTCCTACCATCATGTATATCCACAAAAATGGGATCATAATTAGAATAAGATACATTCTATGTTTGTGTAATTATATCAGAATGAATTCTACTGTCATGTGTAACTAAAAAGAACAACAAGAACAAAAAATACCTCTTTCACCCTGCGCAACTTTTTTTCCAGTAATTCTGGAACCATGAATTGGAACATGAAGAAAAGCAAAGAAAGTGTCAAGTGGTTTATCTTAGAAAGCTGAACTATGCTGCTTTGAAAACAAGCTTCAAAATATCCCAAAAGTGTTTCTCCTGTATTTTCTTGAGGTACAGTTGTAAAAGCTACATGAAGTAATAATTTCTAAGAATCGATTAATGTTTTGCGTGTTGAGACAAAATATAAACTAGTAGAAGGAACACACACTCCAGGCCAGACTGGCCTTGGCTCAGACCCCGTTTCTACCACCGCAAGCTTATTGTTTTGGGACAAATTATATAGCTTCTTTGAGCCTCAGTGTTTTTATTTGTAAATGAGATAATAATTCTGTGTTTGCAGTGTCAGTTTCAACACTAAATGGTGCAACCACTGAGGAATGAGGGGTGACAGAAGAGACTCCAAAGATTGTACATATTGGTATTGATAAGCAAAGACTTGTAGAAACTGGTTACACTGAATTCATTCGACGGTCTAATACGTATGTATTGATCCCACCATATGCCAAGCCCCTGGGCACAGTGCTGAGAATTCAAAGGCTGTTGCTTTATACTAGGAGCTTAACATTTTTATGGGGGTGCAGATGTGCATAACAGAGACAGGGAAGTGGTATGCAAGCACAAATAATGGAACAGCAAACTTTGCAAGGAGAGGTAGCAAAGACTTCTTAAGGAAGTCTGTAAAGATGGCAGCTAGATGAGCTAGAGTGTACCAGGGAATAATAAGAGGAGCACTTGGGGCAGACTGCAAAAGCACAGAGCTATGGAAAGGTTTTTCACCTCTGAGAAGAGTAAAATGGAAAAGAGGCAGAGTAACAATATCGGGCCCCTTAGGTGGTTAACTTGAACCCATAAGAGCAGCTTATGTTGTTTGAAATTAGCTCAGATACCAAGGTAATCTGTCAACAGTGTGGCTCCAATTGATCACAAAGAAAATTTCAGTTCCCTGACATGTGCCACTTTCGATGGGCTGGCCTAAGAAAGGTTGGCTCCAGGGCCATCAGTACGCTAGTGTTTGTCAGTACACACCACTTTTCTTAAAAAGTACTGAAATTGGAGGCAGAAGGGAAACAGTTATTTTAGATCTAGGACTCATGATTTCTAGCTCTTCATTCCCCTGTAATTTCTGTGATGGGTTGCCCTTTTCAAGAGGAACTCCCTGGGACCTATTCTAAAAAATTGCTGTAACTAAAATACATGTTTCATAGCTAATAACCCAACAGTACTCCATTCCAGAAGCAGAAAAGGAAGATGACACAAAATATCTCTGCAGAAAATATGTCCTCAAATTTTGTAAAGTGGTGTGCAAACATTTCAAAGTAATCTACTGGAAACCAGTGAAACACCACAGCTAGAGCATCAGAAAGATGCACACAAAGAAACAGCCCAGGGCCAACACGCCAGGAAGGGCAGGACTTGACGAAGCAAACAAGCTCCTGCCTGGACACCTCCAGGGGCCGACAACGATTCTCCCAGGGAAATAACAGTCTTGCTGTTCTTCTGGGGGCAACTGTCCATGCACAACAGTTGCTTCCAGCACAATCCCTGGGTTGTGAGGTGGAGTTGGAGCAGAGGACTGACGATTGTGTAGGTGGAAATCAATCTACTACATAGTCTAGACAATGACTCAACTCCATTATAGAACATTTTTAAATTTACATGTGGTATTCTTCTCTAATGATAATCTCTCATTATTATTTTCTGAAATCTGATGGATATTTAGGTCAATGCCTTGGAAAGTCTAAGATAGAATATAGTTCTAGAATAGATTCTGTTCGGTCAAAGGAAGCCAATTGTCTTAATCTACTCACCATTCCGTGATTCAACCACCCTGGGATAAAATTATCAAGCAACTTCGGGTATATCATCTCTCTGTCACAGGCATAGATGGTCCAGAACACCGATACGACGAACTGGAAAAGGAAAAGAAATCTTTTATTTTGAGTTCATTAACTGTCTACAACATACAATCTGTTGATTATCTGTTGTTAAAAGAACCCAACAGAATTTGAAACTGATGCTAAAAGTCAGAGAATAAACCAGCTCATGGCTGTAAACATGGGTCAGTTAGTGGTGACAGTTGGGGTGCCTCCTCTCTCTTAGGACTCCCAACTGTGTTCTCTCAGGCAGAGCAAGAGGGAGAGGAAAGAGGCCTGTGGTCAGGAGCAGCACCATTTCAGGGCTAACTGAGCTGGTATGATTCCTCTCAAGAGGGTTTAAAAGTTCACTGGTGGTTTTCTCGGATCCCATTCCCCACTTTACAGAGCTAGCACACATTCAAGAAGCTGTAGCCTCGTCCCTTTTCCTTGAACCCATCATGTGCTTTAAATTAATCTTCACCTTCTCAAATTTCCATTCCACCACTAACAGCACTGAAACCGCTGCTTATAAAATGTCCCAAAGTCACATTTCCAGCAAATGTATTAATTTATACAGCCTCAGCAAGGGCTTCAGCTGTGCTGAAAAGCAGGGTATGTGAAGGGTAAAAGGAAGATTCCGGGTTCTCTTGGAATAACTAAGAAGTTCATCTGCGTTTCAGAAGTTTGTTTTGGCCCATTAGCAACATAATCATTGAAAGAGAGTAGAATACTAGATTTATGTTTTTACTATTCTTTGAACTAATAGTGAGAAAAAAAAATTCAGATAAAATAAAGAAATAAGTGGCCCACGGTCTTAACCTTCAGCATAGAATTTAAAAGAAAAAGTACATGCTTTTGTAAATGTCAAAAAATAGACTAAAAAATAGGAAAAGGGAGACGGTCTAGAAGCATCACAGTGTTTATATAATGTTCTCAAAATAAAAAAGATACTACAAAATGAAAATAATGCAGCATGAATATTAAACAAAAGTTTTTATTTCATTTTCTAGTTATTAATGCTCTCACATTTTATTAATACAAACAATAAATATTACAGTACCATTTTTAATAAAACACTTTGTTACACCTGATGCTCAGACTAGCACTAGAAGAGTCCCAAAGTTTTCCCACTGTGAGTTATGATATGGGTAGTCTTAGCCAGGACACACAAAAAAATCACCTTTCACATTTAAGTGGAACATTCATTATTTTATAAAATATAATGGATGAACATTAATTCAATAGGCAATAGTACCAACCTAAGTGTCCTTCAATAGATGAATGGATAAAGAGAATATGGTATATATATATTCAGTGGAATATTACTCAGCTATAAAGAAGAATGAAATTATGGCATTTGTCACTAAATTGATGGAGTTGGAGAATATCATGCTAAGCGAAATAAGCCAATCCCACAAAACCAAAGGCAGAATATTTTTTTGACTATGTGAATGCACTAGGGAAGAACAGAGTTACCTTAGATTAGATAGAGGGGAGAGAAGGGGGGAGGGGAAGTGGGAAACGAAGAATAGTAGAATAAAACAGACATTATTACTTTGGGTGTGTGTGTGTGTGTGTGACTGCTTGACCAATGTGTTTCTACAACATGTACAATCAGAAAAAGGAGAAATTATACTCCATCTAGGGGGTATAATATATATCAAAATGCATAAATGCATTCTACTATCATGTATAACTAATTAAAAGAAATTAAAAATGTTTTTAAAAACAGGCAACTGTATATTAATTACATTGCTTTAATACCAGATTGGATCCCTATCTTGCTTTTATTCACTGTAGTTTATAAATGCACAAGATTTTTTTAAAAAGAAAAAAATCTATTGTTTGCTTAATGCTAACTACCGTAACTTTTCAAGTACAATGAATAGTTTTGAATTATCCATAATTTAGAATTATTTACTTCAGATTTCATATATACTGAATATCCATGCTGACTGCATTCGTAAGGCACATATTTGATAGTTACTTCAAGTGTTTATCACATTACCTCTCAGCATAATCTCCTTATAGCGGGCTGGAACACAAATTATTGTATTTTTTCCTTTCAACAAATAGAGAAATTAAGGTTTCTCTTTTCACTTTAGTAACATTTGTTTGTGTGTAAGGATTCACATATCATAAATGGAATGGAACCTCACTATAACTTCAATGATTTTAATCCCGCCAATTTGGGTGCTAATGTAGACAGAATCTACTGTGCACTAAGTTTATTTCTATTTTGTGAAGAAAGGATTTATTAAGGAACTACACACACACACACGTACACACACACAGAGGCATGTGACAATTAATTGTAAAACATGTAAATTTTTTTTTCTTTGAATGACCTTGCAGTTGGTGGTCTAAATACTTTGGTGAAGTCTGGATTAACAGAGATCAAGGTGGTGTAGGGGCAGGCAGAGTCAGTGGAGTCAGGGATCCCAGTCACAGTAGGCAAGGGGAAAGAGGCCTTTAGCAGGGGATAAAGTAAATTAGGCACAATTTTAAAAAACAGGAGAGTTGGCTAAGATAAGAGTCAAAGGAGAGAGAAAGTTAGGGAATTACCCACAAGCAATACCCAGAAGAAAGGGATTAGGACCAAGTACTCTTTCCTCTTTAAAGTGAGATGAAGCACTTTTGCTGCCAGTTGGAAATATGCTGAGCACAGACTGAAAATGATCTGGAGCTCTACTGTGGATAATGTGCTAGGAAGCCAGTAAGATATTTAAAGAAAGACTGTCAAGGATCAGGATACTACAACTGAGGTTAATGGGATGGTTTTGTAGAGGAACCAACAGCATACTGCCCAGAGCTATCAAGATATTTTAAAAGTGGATTTAGAAAGAGGATCCTGGGAATTTCCCAGTGCTGTGAACTGGGTAACTCTCATAGACAGAAGGTCTGAAATGAGGATGCTATAAAATCAGAAAGAACATCTTTCAGTGACTGAGCAGTGTTTCTAAGCTGTTACTTAGGAAGGAGAAGTTGCCAATGACATACATCAATCACCTTCTATTGAAACACAGTGGACATTCAACTAATGATAGTCCTTCCTATTTTTACTCTCTTCTTGTTGTATAGATTTGGCAAATCTGAGTAAAATCAATCCATCAGGGCTGATTTCATGCCTTAATGCCAGGGTGTTTTACTAGGTTCCATAGCGATTCTACCCTCAGACTAGGACCCAGGCTTTATAGCCTGGCTCTTCACAGTATGGATCAACAGCACCCATGTCACCTGAGAGTTAGTTCCTATATGCAGAAGACCATTTCTCACTCTGTTAGGTTCTAATCCTAAATTTTAATAAGATCCTGAGGTCATCCATGTGCACATAAAAGTTTGAGAATATCTTGCTTAGTGAGGCCCTTCCAGCAACCTTGTGCCTCCTGCCTTCCCATGGAATGAGGAGATCCCAGGTCTGGAGTCCTCTCTACCCAGAGACTACATTCCTCCCTTCTAGGCCACACCCAGGTAACCATGACTCTAGAATTCCCTCCCCAAACACACACAAGTATGACTCACGATGCCTCCTCCTCTGGTTATGAATCCAGGGTGGACTTTGTAATAAATGTGTATTTACCTTGATCTGAAAGGGGGTTAAGACATGTCTGTTTCTGTAGGCTAAGCACCAAAGCTTCATGTTTAATCCGGGTATTCACACATAACCATGAAGCCATGCAGTCCTGCAGAGCCATTGGTGGAAATACCTTCACCTCTGCTATATAACATCACCCACTCATGAGAACAAAATTCCATCCTGTTCAGTCCCCTCCTCCACACAAAGCCAGGAGATTATACTGCCCTTGCAGCAGAGCAGGGCAGAATCCTGGAGCCATGTTACAATCCTGATCACACAGGATTGTTCTTCTTTCCACAATTGTTTTGACTGTTTTAAGTCCTTTGCAGTTCCAAAGTTCCATTTAACTTTCAGAATCTCAGCTTGTTAGTTTCTACAAATATCCTGCTAGAATTCTCACTTTGACTATTTGAGAACTGACGTCTTCACATGGAGTCTTCCAACCCATGCACACAATTTACTTCTCCATTTACTGAGGCCTCCTTTTAATTTCTCTCAGCAATGTTTGTAGTTTTCAGTGTACAGATATTCACATATTTTGTGGAATCCATCCTTAAGTATTTTATGTTTTGTGAGGTTATTGTACAATATATTACATTTTTGACATTCTTTGTTGCTAGTCTATAAAAATACAGCATGTTTTTGAATATTGTCATTGTTTCTTTACTTTGGCTAAATTCACTTGGTAGTTCTAGTAGCTATTTTGGATTTTCATTTATACATAATAAGCAAATAAGAACAGTTTTCCTTCATTTCTTACAATTTGTATGTCTTTTACTTTCTTTCCCTTTTAATTGTGCTACCTAAGATCTTTGACACAATGTTGGATAGAGTGATCTAGAATGAGCATCCTTGCCTTCTTCCCTAGTGTAGGGAAACTATTCAGTCTTTCAACATTGAAGTTTGGTATTAGTTGCATAGTCTTCTTTGGTACCTCTTATCAAGTTGAGAAGACCTCTTCTGTTGTCAATTTACTTGGGAGATACATCTATACACACAAATACACAGACACACACACACACACACTTATCATAAGTACTATATTTTTTCAGATGGTTTTATTGCCTACCTTGAGATGATCATATAATTTTTCTTCCTAACTCTGTTAATATGAAGAATCATATCAACTTATTCTGCAAGTTAAGAAAACCTTTCATCCTCAATCATCACGTATTACAATTTATGTATGTATGCTGCTGGATTTGATTTGCTATTTTGTTAAGGATATTTTTTATCCTCTATTCATGAAGTATACTGATCTATAATTTTCTTTTCTCATGATGTCTTCATCTGATTTTGGTAACAGGAAATTGCTAACCTCAAAAAGCAAGCTGAAAGTGTTTTCTCTCTTTTCTGAAGGACTTTTGCAAAACCAGTATTTTTTTTTCTTATCCAAGTGATAGACATCTCTAGTAAATCTCTCACAACTTTTCTTATAGGCAAATTTAATTATGAAGTAATTTTCTTTAATGAAATA